TTTTTTTTTTTTTTTTTATTTATTTTATTTTTAATTGTATCTTTCTGATAAGAAATTGACAATTATGTAATCAAATCTTAAAAACTAAACATAATGCAATTAGCAGGTGCAAAAAAGGAGTTTAAACTTTATAATAAAATGAAATGGATTATTATTATCAAAATTTATATCAACATTTTTAGTAAAATTACGTTAAGGTGGTACGAAGCTTTTTCGCTTAAGTCTAGATATTGTGGTATCAGAAAGCAGCTGTTGCGCCATTGGATTACTATGCTGGTGAAGTTTCACTTTATATTTTTGGCCGCATGTTGTAATGACGTCTGCAATAGTTGGGATTCCAAGATCTTTGTGGATATGTGCATTTTTGAGATACCAAGGAGCACCTGTTATTTGTCTAAGTAATTTGTTTTGAACTCTCTGTATTTTTTCGATATTAGAAGCACATGTTGCACTCCAGAGTTCTATACCATAGGACCAGATAGGTTTTAAGATTGAATTGTATACCAGGACTTTATTTTCCAGAGTTAGCTTAGAGTTTTTATTAATAAGCCAATGGAGCTGCTGTGATTTTAATTTAATTTGAGATTTTTTGCTTTCAATGTGCTTAGTCCAAGTCAGCCTTCTATCAAGATGGATGCCAAGATATTTTACATCATGTGACTGAGGTATAATGATGTTATTCAATTTAACAGGGGGTACGTTTCTTTTCGCAGAGTAAATGTGACATGCACACTTTTCGTTTCGTTTACTTTTATGCGCCATTTTGCTAGCCACTTCTCCAATAGACTTAAGTGAGTCGAGAGACTTTGGGACGCCCTTATGTGGTCACTGTTAGAACTAAGAATTGCAGTGTCGTCCGCGAAAGTATCAAGTGTGTGATTTGAGAGTAGTGGGAGATCAGCTGTATAGATTATGTACAGAAACGGCCCCAATACGCTTCCTTGAGGAACACCGGCCATTATGTCGATTTCTCTTGAAATAAAGGTATTGTATTTCAATCTAAATTTTCTAGAAGATATATATGAATACAATAGCTTATGCATATTTTCAGGAAGATAACGTTTTATTTTATACATAAGACCTTCGTGCCAAACCTTATCAAAAGCTTGGGCTACGTCCAAGAAAACAGCGGAACAGTATTGTTTGTGTTGAAAGGCAGTATGTATTTCTTTAGCAATTCTGTGAACTTGCTCAATAGTGCCATGTCCTGTTCGAAATCCAAATTGATGGTTTGGGATCACATTGTTTTGAGTTATTATTGGCATAATATATGACAGGAGGCAAAAGACTAATTGGTCTATATGATGATGCCAAAGTTAGGTCCTTTCCTGCTTTTGGAATCATTTTTATTTCTGAAACTTTCCATTGCTTCGGGTAGTAGCCAAAAGCGAGGATGCTGTTAAATATCACCGTTAGAAAAGTTATTGCTGAATCAGGCAATTGTTGTATCATTTTACCCGTAATTTTGTCGTATCCAGGTGCCTTTTTGGGATTTGCAAATGTTCGAATAGTCTCCTTGACGTTATCCAAACACAACGTAAGGGGAGTTTCAACAATAGAAGGAGATTCGATGTTAGGTTGGAAATCTGATAATTGTGGGTTTGGCTGAAAGACACCCTTTAGGTGTTCTGCTAAAATACAACCTTTTTCTTCGTCATTGCGAGCCCAAGAACCATCCGGTTTTCTAAGCGGTGGGTCATTTTGTATTGGCGTTTTAAATTTCTTCGTTGCCTTCCACAGAGAATAGTTGTTTTCTTTAAGTGGACCAAGAGACTCGAGATATTCTTGTAAAGAGCGGTTTTTGTCATCAGATAGTGCTTTTTTAAGATCTTTTGAAGCTTTATTTAATCTTTGTTTTGAGGTGGGTGATCGAAGTCTTTGCCATTCACGCCTGGCTTGTCGTTTTCGAGAAATAAGATAATCAATGTGTGATTGAAATACTATATTTGACTGGACTGATCTTTTTGGTTGAGAGGCTTTAATTACAGCATTATTTAATGTCTTGGTAAAGTGATCAACTGCTTTATCAATTTCTTTAGGTGAACTACAATTTGAATTGTAACTTATTTCCTCATTAATAATATTTATATATTTCCTCCAGTTTATTAGAGTTTTCTTATTCTGCTCATTTGAATTAGTATTAAATTTTGTCAGAGTTAAAATAACCGGAGAATGGTCAGAGGACAAGTCATAAGATGATTTAACAGCAATATCTTCACGTTTCATACCATTAATGACTGCGAAATCGATTAAGTCTGGTATTTTTCGATTGTCTGATGGCCAGTATGTTGGGTGGCCTGAGGACACAACATCAAGGCTGTTGCCAAGTGCTGCATACAGTTGACGACCTCTTGGAGTTATTAGTCTAGAACCCCAAAAGGTGTGTTTAGCATTGAAATCCCCAGCAACTAGAAAGTTAGGACCGAGATCAGTAAAAAATTTCCGGAATTGATCAGAAGTAATAGCAAATTTGGGCGGGCAATAGATTGCTGAGACGACAGTTTTAGTTAGACCAGAAATTACACAAATTGATGTAGCTTGTAGGTATTTAAAACAATGCTTTTGAATTTCATAATGTTGTATTGTGTTTCTAACAAGTACTCCAGAACCACCACATGCTTTACCATCTGGATGTTTAGTGTCATAAAACTTATATCCAGAAACTCGAAAACAGTTTTTGAAGGTTAAATGTGTTTCAGATATAAGCAGTATATCGATATTGTTACTCACCAGAAATCTAGTTACTTCCAGTACATGTTGGCTTAAGCCGTTTGCATTCCAATGGCATATTGTGATTGCATTCATTTGGGTTTTACCAACTCAGCAATCAAACTTTGGTTTTGTATCATGCTTTGCATCAAGCTATTCATCATATTTTGCATGAAGTCCATGAAGTGTTCAATTTTTTGGGTAAAACTTGCGAGCATTGCTTCAAAGCCTGGAACAACAGTGGAGCTATTGGTAAGAAGTGGAATTTGTTTAATGGCATTTGCGTACGTCATTTGCTGCATTGGTGGAGCCGGTGGTTGCAATGTAGGACCAGTGTTCTGTGGAAGGGGCGGGAAATGAGATGTTGTGAAGTTTGGCAGATTAAGCTGTGGGGTGCGCTGTCTTTGGGCAACGTTTAATTTTAGTCTTAGAGCAGTGAAAACTGGACATCCTCTGTAGTTTGCTGTGTGGCTATCACCGCAGTTTGAGCATTTTCTAACTGCTGGG